GAATAACCTTGTGGAGGGTCATCCACCGAATACCCACATGAGCAAGAAGCAAAATTCTTTTGCTTTAGATCACTGAGATTTGGAGGCTTTTGTGTTGGGTGTTTCTGTTGTCATATCAGGAGCTTTTTTCTAATACACTACCTTACCTCATAACAGGTAGGCAGCTTCTTAGTCCACCTGTAATGCACACGATAAATTCATGTGAACTCAGTGACTGAATAAACACTCCTTCAAGCGCAATCAACCCCACCCTCAGAAACACTCAGAGATTGTACACATTCTTTTTGATCTCACACTCACTCATCCTTCCCTGGACAACTACAGGTGAATGCTGTTCAACACACGTTTGTACCCACCCACAGAAAGACCACGTTTCAGGAGACATGGGCCCCGTGGTAGATAGAACACAATTATATAGTTTTCATTGCAGCAAGAGAAATTTAGGTTATAAGTAAGAATTTCTAAATTATAGAGGTCATCTAAATAAATAATCAACAGATGAAGGTCATAAAATCTATACCTTGAAGATCTTGGATGAGGAGTTTACCTATCAAAATTTTGCTGGATAAATAGTTATTGTCATTAAAACTTGGAGACTAACACATTTAACTATCCCAGCAGGGGCTGGCAGACAAACCCCCAGTTCAGAAACTCTGCCCAACTCCAGGTCACCTTCATCAACCCTAGAGAGTATTGAGTTCATTACTCCTTGATCATGTGACAGTGCAATGAGCCCAGCAATAGCTGGCAGCGGTGGAGGTAATGAGTGGGAAGAGTTTTCACAATAAAGACCCCCAGGCAGTGTATGCTGCTCTCACTAGCCCCCAAGTCACAGTGCCCCAGTCAGGGATTCCCACATGAAAATCAGATGGAAAGAGAAAAGCTATAAAAATAAATCCATTTTGAAATGCAAATAGGTATAAATATTTTTAATCTTTTTATTGAATAGACCAACTAAATTAGTGATTCACTGTGAGAAAAACCCACCTTACCATCAGTGGCAGGCACTAGAACTATATTGCCCTTTATGACTTTTACAAGACTGATGAAGGAAGGTTAAAATTCAAATCTGCCTTTTGGGACAACCAGGCTTATACATCCTCAGGAACTTACATGCATCTCTTGCTATTTGGGGAATATGGTAAGACTCGCCCAAATCTTAAAGCCATATTATAATAGAGCTGTACTGTATTATGTTTTATGGAGAAAAAATTACTGAATTTTTAGCAGTATAGCTATCCATTTTTCTTATTTAAGGAAAAATCCAGTTTGATTCATGCAGAGTAGTCAGGGCATATAAAACAAATAATAATTCATCAGCCCCAGAATTATTATGTTTTCATTTATAAAGATTTTGCTTGAGATTTTTATTCATATATTCCAGTGAAATAATGCAATTTTGTATAGTTCTTATTCTTGCATGGTTGTATTTTAATAATAATAAAGTAATAAAATAAGCATATCCTGTCTCCTCTTGATGAAAATATCAAGATTTATTTGCTAAATAAACAAATATCCAGTAATGGATCTGTGCTTAGTAATGTTTAATAGAAAAGTTTTCTGGATCAGATATCAATTACTTTAACACTTAGGTGGATAGAGCCATATTTTGTCTTTCCATTGCAATTTAGCTCCCAAGAGTAAATATGTATGTTCAGATGAATAACATATTGTTTTAAAATAGACCTTTAAGAATTGCTTTTTACTAAAATTTATAATCCTGTTCTTGTTCAGTCATCATCTACCAGTAAGGATAATACATTCTTATGCTTTCTAAAACATGAAATAAAAAATTCTTCATTTTATTCTTTCTCCTTTAAAATATTGTAATTGTAAAATGATCATGAGTTTTCAAGATCAGACTCTTTCCCTCTTTGTGATCCACTTTCTCAAACGGAAAAAGTTATAGAATTAAAGAGCCTATATCCCCAATATTATTATGAAAGTGTTATGGCTGGGTTGGTTATAAAGATGATAAATCATCTTGTATTTGTACCACAGAATTCTTGTTAGAAACAGAGAATCATTCCAAAAGTATAAAACTCCCCATATACAGAGCTAAAGTCTCTGTTCTTAAAATATGAAAATGTTGGTCTTCCCAATGGGAAGTGTGGTTTTCTGGCATTGTTCTATCTTCTCAACAAACAGGTCACTTGTCCTTTACAGTAGCAGGTTACAGCACTGTTTGCTTCTGGTCTCCATCATCTACTCTTACCTTTCATAATTGCATTTTTCCTGGACTTCTCTGGAACTATAATACCTCCTCCTTAATATATTTTCTTATGGGATCTGACTGAAGACAGATAGAATGGCATGTAAAGAAATACCATTTGATAATCCAAAAATAAGTGTAAGTAATGTAAATATTTACTTCAGCCTCTCAAGAAAAACCAATGGGTTAGGACAAGATGGAGCTCTCAGAATGGGATACATGGCAGGCAGCAGGTATTAAAGGTACTATATCCATAATGCTCAGCAAAACCTTGTAATACACACACACACACACACACACACACGTGTGCACACACGCGCATGTGCGCACACACACACACTTATGTGACAGCTTCTCTCCCAATCCGTTTCCTACTCTAAGCTCTCCAAATACTCTCCTCAAATTTATTCCCTTATAAAAAGATAGATAGTTCCTTTCCTGTATTAATCTAAAGGAATATTGTGAGTAAGATAACTGATCCTGCTTAATTCTAACAAATATATAAAAATTTATAAAACATACTTTGTGTATTAATCTCACATACAGCTTTATCATCCATCTCTTACTTTTCCTTTTGATCTCTTTTCCTCAAGCATTCTTTTACACTCTTTCTTATGTTGTACGTATTCATGTAAGGCAAGTCATTATACTTCTACCTTGGGATATAAACATACAAATACATAGATTACCAAACTAGATAATAAGGAAATCTGAAGTTTTCAGATTATATAAGACCTTTGTTATGCATTCTTAATTAACTATCCAAAAGTCACTTTCTGTAGGGTGTAGAATCTAACCAAAATTGAAAAAGTAATAATTATGATGAAGATCAAGAAAAATTATGCTAATATTCATTTAAGTTTAATTATTGGTAATAATGTCACAATAATATTATCATAATAATGGCATTGCCAAGATGTATTCAATTTTACTACCTTTGTAGTAGCTGTAAAAATTAATTCCTACCCCTCAAACTGTTGTGTCTTAAATAAGGAAAATATTCTTCCCAAATAGTTAACTTGAAGAATTTATGACTGTCTTGAATCTCGGCTATAATATTTTAAGGATTCCATAGTATTTAGAAATGTACAAACTACTAGCTAAATCCCTATTTCAGAAATCATCGTTGCTTTCAGGTGGTAGGAATCAAAGCTCAAACTGACTTCATTATATTTAAATTTTAAAGGAGGAGCGGGAGGCATGGAACAATTGATTTGTATTATTGAAAGACCCACAGGTGGTACCGCCTTTGAATACAGCTTAATCCAACAGCTCACTCACTGCTTTATCTTTTGCAGTCAGCTTTATTCTCAAATTCTACCTGATATCCCACTTCTTATACCATGCTCTCAAATGCCAGGATCTTGAGTAATAGCAAAATACTCAAATGTCATTACAGATCCCAAATCACACTCTTCCACACAATTCCTGAGACTCGCTCTTTCTCATTAGCCCAAATTGCTCTTATGCTTATGATTGAACCAAAACTGATCTCAGGGTAATGCTGTGGATTGACTGGTCTGTGTCAGGTAGGTCTCACTTTTAGAGCAAGTAGAGATTGAGAGAATTCTCCAAGGAGGAAAAAAAGAGGAGGAGGAAATGCATATTAGGTAGTCAACCAACCAATGTCCATTCCAATTCTCATATAGGGCAAAAATAGTTGCTTGTGGGAATTATAACAACATTGTGGTATTTCACTGATCCTGGGTCTAGTGTATATTGAAAGGATAGCAGTATCTTTAATATTTGTATTGTCTCAAATCTACTTTGGTGGTGATGGAATTAAGGAACTTTCCCGGAATAAATACAATACAGCAGGTTAAACATTAAACTTTGGAATCAACATGAATTTCAAGTGAAATCGAAGTGAACTATACATAAAAATCCTGTGTGGAATTATTTATTTCTCGAAGTTTTTACATGGGTTATGAGAAGAAACTTAAAAATACAAAGGTTGGTTTTGGAGACGTAGACCAGAAGCCTGAGGTGAAAATTAAGAATCTTAGGAATGGAAACCAGTCTTTCCCACTTATATCTAGAACTCTGAAATTATAATGAAGGTCAATGGGAAAATGTAATTTTTTATACAAAGATTTATTATATATGTAACTTTCTCACACATGAAGTGCAAAAATCACAATATGCTATGTTTTTAAAAGTAGAAGCTGTTTTATTATTTATGGGGGGCAATAATGATAACTTAGCTGTAAAGTTGCTGTCTTTTGCTATTTTCTTGCTGATGTGAATTTGTGGATAACTTCCAAGATAGAAGAACTGGCATTAAAAGGAGTACAAGATAAAACTCAGAAAATGGTTGGAAAGGAGCTAATGACAAAGTGTTGGCATTACGAAGGCACTGTAGAAGTTAAACTCTGAAACTGATCAGTAAAAAGAAGTCGTATAAAACTGACACGGTCCCATCTCATACTGCGCAATTGGGACCTTTAGAAATGAGATTTCACTCTAACCCAAAATGTCAGAACATTTTTTTATGGACAAAGGGCAGAGAAATGACATAGACACCAGAATAGAGAAGGAAATGAAACTTAGAGAAAGGTGGTGATAGAACACTAACAGATTTGTGTATTTCTCAAAGAGTTTTTAAACTTCTTAAGCTTTTTCTTTTTAAAAAAATTTTCTGCTTTGAAAAGTCCACTCACAGTCTGTTGGCTGTGATTCTGATGAGGTGTCCTACAGAAAACACTGATGATAATGGTTGCATCTACGTTTTGTACTTTGCTTCCAGAGAGCTTAAATTTTATTTTATCCATATTTAGCTTCATAACAGATAAAGCAGTCCCTCATATATATAGATGAGTCTGCTGATCTACAATCAGTTCTTCATGTTTGCTTTTCTGGTGGTGCTGACAGTTTCACTATGTCAGACTCTGTTAAACCAGTCCTCTTCTGTGGCTATGAGTTCATATTTCTCAGAGAACAAGCTGAGGCCAGGGTATGACCTGAATATGAAACGAATTTTTCCATTCAGGCAAAGCTGCTTTGTTCATTTGAGCATCTACTCCATTGGATTATTTGATGCTGGTTATCTTACTTCATTCACCCTTCGTACATTGAACAGAAACCACTTAAGCTTTAGGTAAAGAATTAAGGCTGTGACAAAGAAATAAATCATATCTCAGAAGCTCTGAACATTTTATTCGTTCTTTTTGAAGTTATTTTTTTGAAGAAGATTTTTTTGTGAAGTTCTCTTCTTTACCCTTAAAAATTCAGGATTTGGAAAAGTTTGTTTTTAGATTCAAATATTGATGGACACTCACTAGATGCTTGGGGCATGAACATAACTTGAAGATGTCATTCTCAAGGGGATTAAAACTTGTTAGAGAGATAAGACATACCCCCATGAAACCTTAGGAGATTCACTCTAGAGTGAATAGTATAGATTTCTTTAAGAGTTTGAAGGGGGATACTGAAATATTCAGGAAACCCTTCATGGACAGAGTGGGACTTAAATTAGGTACATCTGGAAGGATGGTCATCGACTGAATAAAGGAAAAAGGAGAATATGTAACTGTTTCTTGGTGGAAAGAACTTTTCTGAACAAAGAAAAGTTCAGAAGCAGGATAAGCACAGGCTGGTACAAGTTAGTGAAATCAGCAGAGCTGATGATTAAGGTTTATACTGGAAAAAATGTAGGAATTAGGTACAGATTGTGAAACAGATGCACAGAGTTGAGAGGCTTGAATACCAGGAAAGAAGTCACTGAAGTTCCTGAGGAAGGATGTGACAACCACAAAGGCGATGTTCCAGAAATATTCATTGGGTGCTGGTATGGAGATATATTGGCATGAAATGATACTGGTGGCAGTGAGGCTGGTTGGGAAACTTTTTCTGTCATCCAGATGTTATGTGATCAGAAATCTGACCTGGGTGGTAGCAATGGTTATGCTAAGAAAGGAGTTAATGTATTACAATGGCCAGATTTAATTAGTTTTTGAGACTCACTAAATGTCAGGGAATAAGAGGAAAGAAAAGTCAACAATAGCTTCCAGATTTTAAGCCCGAATAATTGGATGAATAAAGGCTATCCTTATAACACATTGGTGAAAAAACAGGAAAGAGGTAAGTCGTGGTGATTATAAAAATCACTTTTGAAGAATGTATTTGCTGCATTTTTGTGTGGTAATTTCTATAAGGATGAGCAAATAGCAGAGTCCCAGGAGGCATTTGGAAATGCTGTGTTTGAATTTGGTGAAGACTTTCAGATAAGACTATAGTTTTGATCCCAATCTTTTGTTTAGAAGTAACCACTAAGGCCACCAGAGTAGGGACCCCTCTCCCAAGACTGTGTATATAAAGAACTTATCAGTGATCCAAGGACAGCTTGGAAGACCACTGAATGAGAAGAAAGGAAAAGCAAGGGAGAAAGAGGAACCAGGAGGGTGTGTGTGTGTGTGTGTGTGTGTGTGTGTGAGAGAGAGAGAGAGAGACAGAGAGAGAGACAGAGAGAGAGAAGAAGGAGGAAGAGGAGAAGGAAACAGAGACAGAGAGAGACAGATATAAAGAAAGAGAAGAGACTGTTACTGAACTCCAGAAAAGTGATTTGGAGGAGTAGGAGGAAGGGGAGGCCGGGCGGGGGGGGGGGGGGGGGGGAGGGAAACAGTACAGAAGGTCAAACTGCATGAATAACGTGAAGACCTGTAAACTGGTCAGTTCCAGCCTTCTGTGGTACAATAAAAGGTTCTTGGTAAAGGGTAAACTGTATCCTCTTTTTCCGAGGTTAGGTATCTTTCAAACAGAATTGAAAGATTATGTTTTTGTAAGAAACTTAATCTGCATAATCTATCTTTGATATTCTTTTTTAAAGCATCCACTTTCCTAATGGTAAAAATTTGGAACCGCATCATACCTGAAAAACTGAGTTTTTAGAAATAAATTTGGTCATAGTCGTCTAAATTTCATTGCTTGTTGTGGCAAATTGTAAAAGAATGCATTAAGGGATTTATTTCTCCTAAGTTTTCTTCTGACATGACAGAAGCAAAGAGAACATTTTTAATCGGTTCAACTTTCTACCAAAGAACAATACAATCTGGTTAACTTTCATATCCATCAGGGGCACAGGGCTTTTCGGACGTAGGTAGAGGTTTATGAGCATAAAATTGAGAACAATTAGCACTCAAATTAATGTTACATGAGATTCAACATCTGGTAAGTATGTCGTCATTTTGGGTCATAGACCACCTGCTAGGCTAAATGTTCATACAACTGCGATTTACTCTGCATACAAATGGAATAAGAATGATACTTGGAAAAAAATTTTTTCTAAATTTAACAGTATGAATGTAGGGGCTTCTCATGTTTGAAAACTTTGACTAGAAGTTCATAATAGATTGAACACACAAGATGAAACAGAGGAGCAAAAGGAACAAAAAATGCTTTTATTTTTTCAAGCATATTTTGTAATAAATTAGCTATAGTGCTAACATTAGTTTCACTAGTCAATCTAATCACTGCCACTATTAGTGCCAGTCTCCTCTTTATCCACCAAATGTTTAAGAGCAAGTAGAGGCTGACCTCTCAAAGTCTCCGTTTATTTACGTAATCGAGCCCTCAAAAAACTGGCTGCTTCTGGCAATAGAGCTGCACCAGAAAATGACAAATCTCAAGATGCCTCTTGCAAACCTACTACCAACACCAGCCCATGCACAGCATGCCCTAATCACTTCTGAACTTTGGCACTCTGGAACCTCCTATCATTTCAGTGTAGGCCTTAAAGCTTTAAAGGTGTCCTGCCAGGAACTCCCTCTGAGCTGGAAGCAGGTGTTGACTAGAGGTTTCAGCCCTGGGATCCAGAAGCTTCTATGTCTAAATACATTCTGGGTTTGTGTGGAAGTCAGAGCAGCCATGAAGCCTCTCCACATCTATTCAAGGGGCCTCTAGCCCTCCAAAGGTACCCAAGAAGACAAGGGTGTTTCCATAGAACAGCCTCCAACATCATCCCCAGCATGGCCTGACGGCCCCCAGGCCTTGTAAGTCAGGAAGCAAAACCAAGTTAAAGAGCAAACTATAGCCAGGGATCACATACCTTCTGGCTTTGATCTCCAAGGTATGCCAATTCCTGAAAATGCTGACAGTTTATAAATTCTGGCATCTTACAGAGTGCTAAAGGAAGACCACAATCAAAATAAATGTGAGGGGCACCTGGGTGGCATAGTCAGTTAATTGTCTGACTTTGGCTCAGGTTATCATCTCAAGGTTCTTGAGTTCGAGCCTCACATCAGGCTCTGTGCTAACAGCCGGGAGTCTAGAGCCTGCTTTGGATTCTGTGCCTCTCTCTCTTTTCCTCCCCGACATGTGATCTGTTTCTCTATCTCTCAAAAGTAAATAAATGTTAAAAAATTAAAAAAATAAATAAATGTGATGATCATATATCAGGAGGGTGAGTTAGTGTCCTTTTTATTTTTACTTAGTTGCCTTTCCACGTGATCAGGTTCTTGGCCACTGGTGAACTCTTCCTTTACTGTGTAGAACTAGACAATATTAGGCTAGAAGCAGAAGATGTGTCTGTGGTTATCTGCAGCAGATTTCAAAAGCAAGGAAACTTCCTGCACCTTTGAAATTTAAATGCAGAAATCACAATTTTTACCTTGTTTAGAGAAATGAGACAACCTTTACAAAAGAAGCAGTTTGTAATTCAAACACCAACTAAAGAGGCATGTTGAATCTGCATGCTAAAGCACCTAAAAGTTACTCTATTAGTTCTGAGAACTCTGTGCTTGCTGTGTACTTTTCTAGATAGAGTAGGAAATGTTTTATCTAGAATCACGTCTGTTAAAACCATCTATTTATTGGCATTGCCATGCTTCTGTAACACATTTCCCATTGATTCTCAGAATAATGATTATTGTCATGACTCAGTTGTCATGGGGATAGTTTTAAGAGTTAAGTTTTGATGTCCAGCTGCTTGACTTTCAATTCTGGTGGCTCCATTTGCCCCCTGTATGATCTTAGGCAAGTCTGCATCCTCTTCTTGAAGCTTCAGTTATTACTATTCAGTTATTACGCCTGCAAGGTGGGCGTAATAATAGGCCCGACTGCATGGTTGTTGAGTGAAAAGGATAGTCCTGAAAAAGTATGTGGCACAGAAGTGCCAGAAAAAGGTTGGCTTTCAGTAACATCAAGGGATTACCTGATCTTGAGTCACCAAAGAAAGACTAAAGCAGGTCTATTAGTCTGTGTTTATTTTTATTAGGTTCTGTGTTTATTAGGTCTATTAGGTTCTGTGTTTGTGTTTAAAAGATATTTTGTGATATTTTTATTTTTTCAATAATAAGCATACATGTTAACTTTCTGATAAAGTGTGTCAAAGAACTTTGAAAAATTGTTGTTCTGTGGAAGGGTTTAAGGTGGCTATTGCATGTGGGGTATAGAAAGGGGTGCAGTCATCAGGGTGGGTAGTTGGTGTTCCCGGCTCCAAAGAGAATAGCTCTACTTTTATCAACTTTAAATATTAGATATATCCTCAAAGGATACAGAAGTGCTGATTCATAGGGGCACTTGATGTTTATAAACCTAATGTTTATAGCAACACTTTCAACAATAGCCAAATTATGGAAAGAGCCTAAATGTCCATCAACTGGTGAATGGATAAAGAAGATACGGTTTATATATACAATAGAATACTACTTGGCAATGAGAAAGAATGAAATCCTGCCATTTGCAGCAATGTGGCTGGAACTGGAGGGTATTATGCTAAGTGAAATAAGTCATTCAGAGAAAAACACGTATCATATGTTTTCACTCATATGTGGAACTTGAGAAACTTAATGGAAAACCATGGGGGAAGGAAAGGGGAAAAAATAGTTACAAACAGAGAGGGAGGGAGGCAAACCGTAAGAGACTGTTAAATACAGAGAACAAACTGAGGGTTGATGGGGGAAGTGGAAGAAAGGTGATGGGCATTGAGGAGGGCACTTGTAGGGATGAGCACTGGGTGTTGTATTTAAGCGATGAATCATGGGAATGTACCCCCAAAATCAAGAGCACACTGTATATACTGTATGTTAGCCAACTTGACAATAAATTATATTTTTAAAATGTATATATACTGGGATTCTCAGTAAATTTTAGTTTGAACAAAGGGTTCTGCAGCTAAAAACAGCAATGGCATATACCAGAAAGGGTATAAACACACTTATGATTTTCTGTATCTATTATTTTTTAAAGGCATATTACAGATAAATAATGAAGGCTGTATTTGAATCATTACCATCTGAGTTCTGATTCCACATTAAAAATTGACCTTTAACTAAATCATAACTGAAGGATATTTGGAATTCCATCATTTTCCCTTACTGGCAGTATTAAGTCGAGAGAGCTCATTAAACCCTCCGTTCATCATCCTTCATTTGTGACGTCTATTACAATTAACCAAAGCATTATCACTCAGAATGGAAATGATTTAAGTGAATCTGGCCACCAAGACCCCATGGCTGACATTTGTCCCTATCTCAAAAGTAATTCAGAGCCAAGCAAGCCTAAAGCAGAGTGCAGGAGTTAGGTCGGTGCTCTCTGCAATCAGACTGCCAAGTATGAATCCCACTTAGTCCAAATATAGGCTGTGTTCTTGTATAAGTCACATCCCATCTGTGTCCCTCAATTTCCTGTTCATAAAATGGGGACAATAGCACCAATTTTGTAAAGTTATCATGAGGATTTAAAAAGACAATGCACACAAAGTACTTAGAACAAGGGAAGGTAGAAAATAGGTACTCAGTAAATATTAGTTATCATGGTCATTAAGGATATCTTCATGACACCTGAAATATTTCCAAGTCTAATTACAGAAGTCAGTACATTTGTCATTTCAAATTTTCTTCAACTACAGGAGGGATGGTAACTAAATTAATTAGCTTTATATTTTAATTCTCACTTGGTAAATTTTCCTTTTCCTTCGAGATAACATTATTTCTTTAACTATGAACTATGAACAGAAAAATCAAATTCTGTTGAAAAGAATACACAGAAAATATTGAGCCTTGCAAGCTGATCCTGAACTTTCTATTATTTTTGGAAACAGAGCCATGTAATCTAACCATATTTTACTACTATGCTCTATATATGTTTATATTTTTTAAAAAGCAAAAATAATGAAATACATATCATGATGAAATTTTGATATAACATCTATTTGACATTTTGATGCATATGCTTTCACTTTGTGCCTTTAATATTTGTATTTATGATGTCTTCCAAGTACAATTCCTAAAATTTAGGGGAAGAAATACCCTATGTTACCCAAGTCTTTAGTTCATTTCCTATTGTATTTCAGATCTTCAAGGACTCCACATGTTGCCTCAGACAGTTGATTGGTCATCTTTTCCTCCCCAACAATACCTCTTGACTCTTGGGTTCAAAATCAAAGAAGATGGAAAATTTTTGGAAAAACTATCAAGTAGGAAGCTGCCTACATTTACAGGTAAATCACATGGACTTATTAGTATCCTTCAGTGCTGTTATAAGGCAGGAATTGTGCATTCTTCAGTAAGTCTTATTCATCGCAAGGCCCGGCATACAGTAGGGTGAGACCCCAAAAAATTTTTCTTAGGCTATTACTAACTTCTTCCAATCTTCTTTGTGGGCCTGTTAACAATACATGCGATTCAGATTCTCCCAGGGCCAATCAGTGTCTGCCTCCCTCACTCCAACCATGTCACCCTTACAGCACTGAGCACTGTCCACCAGTGCCTAAACACAAAGCACTGAGAGAATACAAGCTTTTGTTCTTATCAATTAGCAAATGTAGAAGAAAAGTATCCAACAAAACCATTTTGCAAAGTAAAAAAATACAGCCAATGACAACCTTAAATCACTTGGATTATCTGATATTGTAATGATTTTTGTTCCACTCTTTTCTTACGTAATTAACCGAGAGCTTACATCTCCGGAAGAGTATTACAGTTAAATGGTATTCAGTAATTCTAGTTGAAACTTTCCAAATTCGAGAAAATATTCACATGGAGTTGAAGTGTCAGATTTGTGGGCAGAATACATGACCGGGTTGAATTTATTCCTTCAGCTCTACCCACATAATTAAGGATTTGTGTTTTGCCTGGCACTCTATCCTCCAAGGCTTATCTCAACTTCAAGATACATTCAAAGTCAATGGGATCTGCACACTTGAATAATACCTGGGAGGAACAAGACAAGAATCAGACACATTTATGACAACATGTTTTTACAAGTCAGGAAAAACACTCTGCTGAGAGAGATGAATTGTTATAGGCTGTTTCTTAGATCTCTCAATCAGGAAACACAACACAATGAATAAATGATAGTCTCTAAAGGGCAATGTCTCCTCTGCCTTTCTCCTCATAGATCTTTCATTGTTATGCATGCGGTCTAGGGAAGATACTAGTTTCTACAGTCAAGATTTCATATCAACGTTGAGATATCTGTGTATAGCTTGTTAAAGAAAGCATTTTTGAAATGGAAGTCTGGAAAAAATAGTATAAAAGTTTATTGTTACAATTTTTAGAAAATAAAATGCCCTTCGGTCTGCTGACCAAAGAAGACACAGTGAGGCACATGGAGACAATGGGAAAGCGGATCTTGCCAATATTGGATTTTATTAGAAGCACCCAGTTGAATGTAGGTATATGAGTGTCTTATATTTGTCCAAAGCACAAATTTTAGACAATTCGGAAAGTATGGAATGTTTATGGTGCAAATATTGGAGGACTTTTAGAAGCAAAGTTTAGCTAATAATTTGGGGGAGGGTTATATATTTTAAAACATATTGCAATGCTACACTTTGCAATTCCCAGCAGTTATTAGGCTAGTGTCTCTTTAAAGAGGTTTCTCTTTGTGCCTTCCTGATATCTGATTCAAGTTTGCAGTACATTTGTCACTTCAAATCAGTAGCAAAATTTTAGTAAACACAGTGTTTCCCTATTTCATCCATTGGGCTATTATACATAACTATTTTGTCACATACACAAGAATTTGGAATTTTCAAGCTAGTGCCTCTGCACCACACTTGTAAATTGGATGCTACCCTAAGAATTGGCAATCGATCTTTGTACACCCCTAAGGTAACTTTTCTGATCCAGGGAAAATATGCCCTTTCTACTTTTCAGTGTTAAAAAGCCCAAAATAAGACCTGAATTATGCTATACTGTTTTATAAAATGTAAGCCATTATGCTGAAAGTTCATAAAGGGAACTTCCCATTAACTGGCTGTAAAGGCTACAGATTTCTCCTTTTTAAAATATTTTTCAAAAAGCCTGGAAGCTGGAAATTTTGAAGAATTTTCTTTTGTTGGCTTTTGTATTACATCATTGATTTGATGTTCTTACCTTATGAGGGGAACCAAGGGGGTCATCACAAACAGCTACTTAACATCTGTTCAGCAGTTTATCTGCTCAATAACATTATTCAGCATTTTTAAAAAGCTATAAAACCCCTAATCTATTTGCATGACTTGTAATTCTATGCATTACAAATACAAAGGCACATTTTTACTGATTTTCCTACCGCGTAGCTCCCCGCTCCCCACAACTGTGTTCCACTCAATTCTTTCTTCTCTATTTCTATTAAGAAGAAATCCAGGGGTGCCTGGGTGGCTCAGTCGGTTAAGCTCCAACTTCAGCTCAGGTCATGACCCCCTAGTCTTTGTGTTTGAGCCCTGCGGGCAGGCTCTGTACTGACAGCTCAAAGCCTGGAGCCTATTTCAGATTCTGTGTCTCCCTCTCTCTCTGCCGCTCCCCCACCCATGCTCTATTTCTCACTCTTTCAAAAATAAACATTTAAAAGTTAAAAAAGAAGAAGAAATCCATCTCCATTTTCTCACAGTTCTAGATGTTAGAAATCCAAGATCAGGGTGCCAGCATGGTCAGGTTCTGAAGACTCTCTTCCTGGCTTGCACTCGGCCACCTTCTCTCTGTGTCCTCACATGGCTGAGAGAAGCTCTCTGGTGTCTCTTCATATGAGAGCATTAATCCTATCACGAGACCTCTACCCTAATGACTTTGTCTAATCACTATACCATCACACTGAGGGTTAGGACTTCAATATATGAACTTGGATAGGTGGATACAAACTTTCAGTTTATAGCAATCTCATTGGCTCTACCACAAATCTTAAGTCTTGTTCTCCAATTTGTCTTCTATCATAACCTTCTCCAGCCACACACACACACAACATCACCAACCTCAGTTAGAGACCCACATACATCATCCTTGGCATCACTAGAGCCTTTCAAGTAGTGGAATCTTCACTAACAAGAACCATCACCATACAGCATTATTTCATGTCTTCACTTCATGGTTAGCCTAGCAGAGCTGAGAGTTGTGTAAGTGATCTCTCGATGCCCTGGCTCTTTGGGGCAACACTGGTCATCCCTTATGGCCTGACACTGGTGATGTCAGGACACTGGTCACATCACCTCTTACCAGTTCATATCTCACAGTGTGTTGGGTATGCAGGTTGGGCCTATCTAGACATCATGCACTTTTTTTTTTTTTTTTTTTTTACAAATAGTTTTTGTCAAATTATTTTCCACATAGACATCATGCACTTTTTAAATGTTCTTCGCTCATTTTTCTCTCACCTTTCAAAGGGCATTCTAGCCAATTAGAAATTGGTATATGCATGTATCTTTATGTGTCCATAAAGGAGATTTGAAAACCACAACTAAGATTCTTAGCATCGAATTAATAACTCAGCCTTCTTTAAAATGAATCAGTACGACTTTGCTACCTGCAAGGCATTTTATCAACATTTCTGTGTTAGCTTCCATGGGAAATAGAATCTTCCAAAATAGTTTTTCGAAGATTATCTCAAGGACAGATGCAATAGAATTGAAGCAAGTGAGCCAGAAGGTACCCAGGAACCACAAGTATATCTAAATATTGGCCTCTAGGCTTTTTATTATATGCCCAACCACAGCTTCATAAAGCAGGACTGAATAAAATTGGCTGCAAAGGTAACCTAGCTTAATGAAGCAAGTAATAAGTTGGTAAGTAGAAATTATTCCTACATTGTGCCATTAACTGTGACCCAAGAAACACTCAACAGTGTTTTTTAAGATTCCCTGAAGTGTGTTATTTTTTCTTGTCACATATCAAATGCTGTCCACTTGAATGAATTGCATTGTTCATATTAGTTGTTACCCTCGCTTGTGACACCTATAGAGGAAGATTTTTGTCCAAGGCTATGCTCTGTGTAACCCTAGGGCAAGTCGTTTCACCTCTGAGCTATTTTTTCCTCTCTTACTAAATAAGCTGATATCTGCCAGGCCCACCTCACAGAGTTGTTGAGACCAAAAGTATATGATCCATGTTGAAGCACTTTGTAAACCATTACAAATTTCAGGATTGTTCACAATTTTGTATTGGTTTTAGTTTGTTTTACTAAAGGACTACTTGATAGATCTTTGTTTCTCTTTGGGCAAGCTGTATACTTCAAAATTATATGTTCTAAAATGAAGATTGTGTGAGTGTCCTGTGGATTTCTAATTTTTTTCTCCTTATACTCTGACCCCCAGTTTCCTTATTTTTATATATTCCTTTACTAGGCATACAACAATAACACATGGCCAAACAAGAATGATTCCAGTACTGTAAGAGTTATAATCTATTCTACCACCTTTCTACCCAGTGATTCTTAATCCCACTGAACATCAACCCCATTCAACCAGTAGCTCTTCTCGAATGGTATTTTTCCTTCTCTGGATCCTTGTCCTAATTATTTCACATGCTACTGGATGCCACTGTGCTTTTCCATTCATTAACTTTATTGGCTGCTGTCAGTTTCAAACCTTATGTACTATGCTTCCTGAGCTAAATGTTAAAGAGTTAAAATAATAAAATCTCTCACCATGCATGAAGCCTTCTTCACATCCTGACTTGCCAAAAAATGACCTAACCATGTTTTTAATACCTGATTAATTTTACTTTTAATTTCCTCCAAGTGAAGCATAAAAAATGTTTACATATACACATTTGAAATTAACAGTGATATGCATTTTCTACCCCTTTTTTTGCAATTAATGTTTCTATATGCATGTCAAATGGAAATATATTTACTTGGGCTCTGCTTTCTAGTGGTATTATATAGTGCCACTTACTTGCCAAACCTTTAACCATACCTGCTATTAAATCTAGGCAATTCTCTGACTGAAGCCTACATTTGAGCTTGCTATTTACCTAATCTTCATTGTACTCATGTGAGGTTTTAGCTTCAGTCTTGGCCACTTTATTACACTCTTTCCAGGAGCTAAGGACACTTTTGATGACTCCTGAAGTCTTATTGGGAGGGTTACTCCCCTTTAGATGTAGCCTTTGGTAACACTAAATGTTTAACCTAACTCCTTCATGATTCATTATTTTATTTTCTTAGAGAAACAGCATTAAAACATTCCTCCTAGCATTAGATATCAATTTGTATTCCTTTTTCACTATGTCTCTCAAAAACCCGCATCTTGTATAGGTAAAACATTAATCTATAGTCTCCTGATAACCAAATTGCATTGGCTTAGGGTGATGGGGGAGGATAGGTAACGATTAGCAGTCAACTATGCTCTGTGCCTAGAATCTGATTTTTATGGAGCACTTCCTGTTTTGTTATGCATCCAACAATCAAGCTAACAAAGCACCATTGCCTTCCACTATTTTTATTTTCCTGATGTTTTGGAAAATTACACTGATAGATTATGTTCCCGAGCAGACTGCTGTTGTTTCTGCTCTTTGGAGTTGAGTCACTACACCACTTTCCTACAATGAGCCCCATTGTTTATTTTAAAGAAGAACAAAGAAAGCAATTTTTCTTCAGAAAGAAAACAGTTTCTCCTGCAACTTGCTTTCCTCTATTTGACAGTATCTCATTGTTTAGCTCCATGTTTAAACTAAATGGGTAGGCTAGCTGTTTTGTCAAGTCAGAGAAGGGATCCCAAATCCACAATATGCGATCATCACTCCTATAGGCTTACAGGTTTCCAGATAAATGATTAATCAGGAAAACCAAATTAGCAGAGATAGAAGGGCATTAGTCAAATGGCATAGATAAGTATTAGGGAGGCACACAGCAAATACAATGTAATGCTGCTCAACCTTCCTATATGACCAAGATTCTAGAAGAGTGCCAACTTCTAGAGGTCAGTGTCCATCAAAATACGAGTATGACATTTCAGAAAGAACTGCTTTCCAAACTCACGTTAAAATTCAGATGCTCTGTAGTAATGCTAGTTTCTAATAATTTTTTTTCTTTTTAGAAGAGATTCTATTTTAAGAAGAAAAAATCATGTCTGTCTTCTCTAATGTCTGGAGAGAAAAATCTGTTCTATAAACACACATAAACTAAAATAGTCTTTGTTCAGATATTAGGCTTTAAAATGGTGGTTTGTTCAACTTCCATTTGAGATATTTGAATATGGGGTGGGGGACACCTAGCTAAAATCATATTTCTAGGGCCACATATCAAGAGATTGTGATTCACCATCTAAGGCCTAGTACTCTGTGTACTTTACAAAACCTTGTGACTCCAGTACAAGTGGTCAAGGAGGAGCCTTATATAAAGGAACACCGGTCACTCAGACTTCCTCTTCTGAGCACCAGGATGAGGAATGCAGTTGCCAAACTATATCTTCCTGTGACTTCATACATCTTATCACCCTCCAAACACAGCAGAAACTCAAAGCTTTTCTATTAACCCTTAGATATCCCTTCTGTGCCTTTTCTCCTAAACACAAAGAAAAATATTATGATAAATTTTATTTCTCCTATCAGCATTACAATTTGTATTAGAATTCTTAGAGACGGACATGTCTCCTCTTTTATGGCTAACTGGCACACCTTATTAAAAGTGTGCCCCATTTTAATAAAGCCCAAAATACCAATAGATTCATGGGAGAGGGGGTGGCCCTTACAAATGTGTACATAGCCTATTTCAGGCTGGATTGTGTCGGTTGTTGGGATGGTCCAAGGAGCCAGAATCAAGTGCTATAACACCACAAGGAGGGGAACCAGAGTCCAAGGCCATCCAGTGAGAACTAAAGGTAAAAGCAGATTTAATGTAAGCCATTAGGGTAGACAAAATTGAATGTGCATAATATTTTTCAGGATTCAACTTGCATAAAAAGTTTTCTTTTATATACACAAGACAGTAGGCAACTCTTAGTTCCTATGATGCCTTGGTGACATAGATAAAGTCACCCTCTCTCAACGAACACAACTTTGTTGGATCCCCACTGGGAGAGTGGAACACATGTTCAATTTCAGTACTCTCTCTTCCCCTCAAGCCCAGGTTCCTTCTACAGGGCCACCTGCACATCCTTCACATCAGTCTTCATAAAGCATTCCCTTTTACATACATTTATCTCTTTGAAGGAAGGGTACAGGCAATTCTCTAAAATAATGGAAAGAAACATTTATTTGCATCAGATACCCATGGCTTCCAAGGATGTAACCATAATCATCCCTGACTTCAATCTCCAGGGAGTGGTCTATTTCTGTGATTTTGTTCTAAAACATCTCCTTTTCCTGAGACCCCAGGGGAGTTTCCACGGGTGCTTGGGTGTGATGGAGAAGCTGCAGTATTCCAGCCTCCTGAGCCGGCTGCAGAGAGTGAAGGAGCAGGCCCAGGTGATCAATCAAGCAATGGCGGAGCTGGCAACCATTCCCTATCTACAGGACATCAGTCAGCAGGAGGCAGAATTGGTAAGTGTTTTTCTTTGTTTAAGGCTTTCACAGGCCCCCGGCCATCAGAAGAATAATACGTTCTGAAAAACAAAATTGTGAGAATCAATGTAGTCTGAGGGCAAACTGCCCAACCCTCCTGAGGCATTTTAATAAAAAAACTGAAAAATGTAGAAAGGTGTGTTTCTGTCTTTTATTTGCTCATGTCGACTAGCCTCCATTTTTATAGTAAGAACTTTGTGATGTGTAAAAGCATGGAAAAGGGCTGATTTTCATATTGTAGATCAGGCTTTTTGCTTTAAATAAAATATAATTTCGATAAATTATTTCTTAAACTCCAAGATATGTTAGCATATAATTTTCTTGAAAGCAAGAAGACAAGAGTAATTACTATATAAAAAACAACCATGTGAAATAGTCTTTATCATTTTCTTATTCACTTCTAGCGTCATATACATGTTGGCAATGCCAACACACACACACACACACACACACACACACACACACACACACACAGGCACATTTAAATAAAACAGTTGTTTCATTACAGAGAAAAATGTAGTTAGTCAAATGACTTTTTTTTTTAATTGAATTGACTGATTAACTCAGAAAACACAGAGCCGGTCAAAAATCAGTTGATAGAATATCTCACAGAAACAATCTTCAAACAGATGTGTCTGTTATAACCATAATTAATATTAGAAATGATAGCTCCTCGCTTATAAAACTATTACTAACCATTGTGAGGGCCATTCAAGGAAAGGTAAAAATCACTGTATATGGAAATTCTAATGTGTTGTAAGGGAGGGCTCTTTACTTTAAGGCTTTAATTGAAGGTAGCTAAAACTAATTATAGACCTGAATTGAATTCACATAGCAAGGATGAGAACAGCCCAAACCAATCACCTGTAATTTTCAGATAACTAAAGCAACCCTCCCTCTTTGAGCTTTTAAAGTTGTAACAAATTAATCCAACAAGAAGTGAACTGCCAACATTTATAATGTTCATCTGACCCTATAAAAGCGTATTAAATAAATACTGATATGCAAAGTAAGTATATAAAATGGTCTGACTAGCCAAATAATAAAACTGTGCGTACTAAAGTATTAAATCTATGGTGGGGGGGAGTCTATTAATCAAGGAATTACTAAGTCTGAACCAGCAATAATACTTTGTAAACCTTTATGGTTGTGTGCAGCGGAGCACCTTCTAAAAGGCTAAGTGTTTATCCTTCCATTCATAAGGCATTCAGGAGTGCAGGAAGTATGGAGTTTTCAAAGTGCATATTATAGCCAATTTTAGATGATTAATGCTCCTCTGAGATAAGAGGAAGCAAAGAAAATGTTAATTTAAGAAGCTGGCACAGTGTTGATCCTGTCTTCCTAAAAAGCACATTCAAGATTTAAATGAAAAATACATGGGAGTTTTCTGCACTTAGGTCTTCTTAACCACCTATCTGCAGCTTTTTTTTTCCCCCTCTGGGAATACTTATATTTCCAAATATGTACAAACAGCATCAAACTAGCATTATTGACACTTCTTACTCACATGTTAATGTAATATCCCACTATCTGAAACCTTGGAAAATAGGATTTCATGGGATATTTTCATAATTTACATGCCTACTAGAAAAAAATGTAATATATATGGATGTATATGTGCAGGCCAAATATTTAAAAATCATGCATCTGCAAGATTTCATCACCTTAAGTAATAGATTTTACTTTCCAACTTCCAAGCATAGGTTAACTTAGAAAATAAATCCTAGTAATATCTTTTATGGTGCTATATAAACAGTGACTGCTTCAGTAGAAGAGTTTTGAGTGACTCAACTCTCTGCCCTCCTGCTTCAGCTCTGCAATATCTAAAGTACAGAGAGATTATCTAAGGGTTCATACTCTTTGATGCCACAGTGAACTGAACTGGCATTTGTTCTTTTTTAGAGAATTTTCTTTTCTAGCTTTGAATATCACATGGCTTGATGCAGCTTCATTACCTTACAACCACAAACACAGCATGTAGATCGGATTCTTTCAGATTGGAACAGGGCAGTTTGGGGCAAAGGGTGGAATTTTTTAAACTTGCCTTTCAAAAAGGCAACTTGTTATTTTGAAATTTTAGGAAATAAAAGGATAGTAAATGAATGTAAATGAGCTAGATCCTTTAAAATGCAATAAAACACAACAATTTTAGTATTGTCCTCGGGTGAGCTTTTGCATGAGGCCTAGAATTATGATACATTAGCCTCAGGAGAAAATACTAAAATGCGCTCATGTACTACATGCCATTTCCTGAGAGAATTAACTACCGCCTTCATTCTTTACAACCCAAATCTGTTTTTACAAAACAGCAACACTTACTACATTAAAACCTATATGTTTCCTACAAATTTCCAAGAAGAATCTTTTCATTGTTACAATATTTTATATGTGCAATAATACTTGGTAATGACTGAAGCAAAGATGAGGTGGCAGTGTTCATTGTCGGAAAGATGAGTAATAAAATCATCAGCGTACAAATGATTTTTTAATTAGGTTTTAATCTGTGTATTTAGAGAAGTTATTTCTGTGTGAATTCCACGCTGATAATTTTTATCTTGGTACCACAGCTGCAGTCACTAATGGCAGATGCTATGGACACCCTTGAAGGAAGAAGAAATGATAAAGAACGTGTGTGGAATACAATCCAAAAGGTAAAACTTTGAGCTGAAGGAAAAAGATATATTATTCTGAGAGAAAATGTCCATCTTGGGTCAAATCTGTTTAGAAGATACAAAGAAAAGGAAGCTCTTCAGGTTGTTTTATTGTCTGTTGGGTGTTTGTTTGTTTGTTTGTTTGTTTTAATAAATACAGCTATCTCCCTGGAAGTAGAACCAGAATCAAAATGGATTTATTTAATCTGTTTCCTCAGGTCTGCTTCTCCAACAGATTGTGGTCATATGCTTTCATAGGTCTTCTTATTCTCATTTTCATATTCTATTTTTATTATCTGCCTTCTCCATTATTGCTTATTATAGATTTTTAAAAGCCCTTTTACCAATGTTTTAGTCCACCTCCCAAAGCTTTCCCCTACATTTTGTCATTTGAGGAATAAAGGCTACATTTCAGAGAACTACAGAAAAACTAGCACATTGGTGCTTTGAGTGGAGGAGTAACATACTGGTTGTTAGAAATACAGGAATAGTCAGGGTGCCTGGGTGGCTCAGTTGGTTAAGCAGCTGACTCTTGATTTGGGTTCAGGTCATGATCTCATGGTTCTCTCTCTCTCTCTCCTCTATCTCTCTCTTCAAAATAAACAAATAATAAAAATAATTTTAAAAAGATGTAGAGGAATAATCTACAACCATACCACCCTGAATGCACCCAATCTTATCTGGCCTCAGAAGCTAAGCAGGGTCGGGTCTGGTTAGTACTTGGATGGGAGAAGTAGAGGAACACCCCTTCATTTGCTACCAGAGTTAAATAAAACAAGCACAGGGATGCACCTAGCACCAGGTACTCAGAAGATTTGTGTGACACTACAGAGCTCTCTGACAATGTAGGAGGGAGTAATGTTAGGTCTCCAGTTGAATTAAAGGTAATCAATTCTGGTCAGTCTACTCTCCATTCAGTCTCTTCCAATCACTGTAAGAACCCATAAAGGGAGACCTGGTATCAGGAGATGTGAGAAGAGCAAACCAAAGAAGCCTCTGGTTGAAGAGATAATTGTCAGCCATGATGGATTCTAGTGCATCTGAGGAAATGGGTGTCTTCTGTAATCACTTCAGAGGTCCTGTGGTAAAATACACAGAACAGAAATTAACTGGGGGCACCTGGATGGCTCAGTTGGTTAGGCGTCCGACTTCATCTCAGGTCATGATCTCATAGTTTGTGGGTTCGAGCCCCACATCAGGCTCTGTGCTGACAGCTCAGAGCCTGGAGCCTGCTTCAGAGTCTGTGTCTCTCTCTTTCTCTGCTCCTCCCCTGCTCATGCTCTGTCTCTCCCTGTCTCTCAAAAATAAATAAACATTAAAAATTTAAAAAAAAATTAACTGAATGCGGCAAATATTTGTTGACAATCTACTGCATTAGAAAGAACACTTGGTAAAAAAAAAAAAAAAGAAAGAAAGAAAGAACATTTGGTGTTAAGGATATTATGCTGGACGATATAAACACAGCCCCTGCCACTATGAGCCTGACCGTCTTGGAAAGAAGAAAAGTATACAGCTACAAATTTACTGAATATTATAGTTAAAAGGCGGACATTCAATAATCTATAGAAACAAATAGGGAAATATGAGCAGGTCTGGGAGGTCAGAAAAGTCATCTCTGAGAAAGTGACAGTTATACAACATTTCAAGTATATGTAGTAGTTATCCAGGTGAAAAGGGAGATTTCTGCAGAAAGGGAAGAGTTTATACCAAGAGTGCGAAGAAAGCAGGGCACATTTAAAAACTTATCAAAAAAATGTTAAAGAAGCAAGGAACATATTTCTTTTTTTATTTTTATTTAAAAAAATGTTTAATGTTTATTTCTGAGAGAGAGAGAACGTGAGCAGGGGAGGGTCAGAGAAGAGGGAGATACAGAATCCAAAACAGGCTCCAGGCTCTGAGCTAACTGTTAGCACAGAGCCCAACGTGGGGCTCGAACCCACGAACTGTGAGATCATGACCTGAGCCGAAGTCTGACACTTAACCAACTGAGCCACCCAGGCGCCACCATATTTCAAAATGAAGTGCAGAAATGGAAGTCAAATCACAGAAAGATTCATAAATTATGTTAAGGATTTTGAATGTTTCAGAAAGTGTTTATCTGGAAAATGTTTTTGAGACTTCTCTAGGGCTACAGTGGGAGCTACAGAAATGTGGGGCAGTCAGTTCTAAGACAGTGGCCTGATCTACGGTGGTGGCTGTGGAGATGAATAGAAGCTGACAGATAGAAGGAATGTGCAGGAAGCCAAATCTACAGGCCTTATTCACCGATTTCATAAGGGAGTTTAGAAAACAGGAGAAGTTAGAATGATGCCCACACATTGGGCTTGAGTCACGGGGCAGGGAGTGGGGTGACGTTTGCTGGTACCATTTACTAAGGGAGCAAGCCCTTCAAAAGTATAGCTTTGGGCTGAGACTATAAACCCTTTCACAATCCAGTCAGGAGGCAGAAACCATTCTACATACTTGAAAGGGAATTTAATATAAAGAATGGTTAACTAGGTATGTATGACATTGTTAACTAGGTAACTGAAAAAGCAGAGGAGAACAATAAGTTAGCATAGAAGCAGCAACTAAAAGGAGCAGGTACCACCCATTAGGGCTGGGAAATCCAAGAGAAGAGACTGGAACTACTAACACTTAGAAATTTGGAGCAAGGATCCTGCTGGACCAAAACTTGGACCTCCCACTAGAAGGCACTGCTCAGCTGGCGCTATTATCTCCAAGCTTGGAGGAAGAATCCTGAATGGTTCAGACCCAGACTTCTGAGGAGGGGGCACTAACTCACTGGTGCTGATGGGGGGGAAGGTGGCAGGAGCAGGAAGGGAGGGGTAATGGAGGTAATTGTGCAACTTCTGGAAAGACTAGATTCACCTGCTATTACAGAAAAGAACTTAACTTTCTGGAGGAAAGAAGCCTTGCTTTAGAGATGCTCACAGGAACCCCAAGCAGACAGGAAGTCAGCAGCAAGTCCCTCCTTTCTCCTTTGGCATCAGAATGCCCCTATATCATCTCCTACTGACAGAGACTAACAACTGGCAAGATAGAAATGAGGTTTGCAGAGTTCCAGCTCCCAGCATCACAGAGCTAATCATAGAAGGGTGGGTTTGGAGTTAAGAGATTATGGGCTAACTAATAACTGGCACAAAAGTGCATTGAACTTAGGGTGCTGGCAAGATATCCAAGGGAAAGTACAGGAGTCTGGAGTTCTGGATAAAAGACCAAATAGAGAGTTTTTAGTTGTTGGCAAATTGATACGAACTGAAATCATTAGAGAAGGTGAGATGGCTGAGAAAGAGAAGAGAATAAGAAGAGAAGAGAGCCTTGCAGAGCACATTTCAAACTTAGGAAAAGAACCATACAAAGGAGACTCAGAAGAAATGGCTAGACGAATTGGAGCTGGAGGTAAACCAAATGTAATGCTGATGAGAGTCAAGCAATAGAATCAAGTATCTCTGTTCACTATAGACATCACTTTTTTAGCATGAGATTAGAAAACTGCAGCCCACAGGTCAAAACCAGCTAGTCACCTATTTTTGTAAATAAAATTTACTGCACACAACCATGTCATTCATTTACATATGGTCTATGTCGCCTTGGCCAAGTTGAATTGTTGCTACAGACACTGTATAGCTCACAAAGCCTAAAATATTTACTAACTGACCCTACACAGAAAAAGTGTGCTGTACCCTGGTTTATAGCATTATCCTTCCCAAAAATATAAACCTTTGTACACTACATATTTGTATTTACAAATCCAAGTGATAATAGAGCAACAGCCCAGTTATGAAATTCCAAGGACTAGCTAAAAAGGTGGAAGAGAAATTGACATTTGTCTATATCTACATAGATCTTACAGAATACCACCAATTCCACCTCACAATAAGCTAGTTTTTGATGCCCACACTCAAAGGAATGTTTAGCCTGTGACTTCCCACTTTGCTCCTATTGCAGTTACTTATTGCTGTGTTATAAATCAATCAAATATAGTGGTTTTTAACAATAATCCAATACTATCTCTTCTCACGATTCTATGAGTTGACCAGACTCAGCTAGAGATGGTTCTTGCTCACTGTCTCTCATGTAATTCAGTCAGGTGGCTTCTGTGCCTGGGCCTAGAGTCATCTGAAGACTAAGGTGTGCTAGACTACAACATGGCTCACTCATAGGGCTGACACTTGACACGAGTCAGCTGAGACGACAGCTGACTGGAGTGCCTACCCATGTGGCGTGTCCATGTGAATGAAGCTTTAAACAGCATTACAGCTGGGTTCCCAGAGGAAATCTATCAAGAGAAAGGAAGTGGAAACCATCAGTCTTCTTTAAGGCCAGTTCCAGAACTTTCCACCATATTCTGCTGGTCAAAGTAGTTATGGGCCAGTGCAGATTCACAGGGTTGGAGGAATAGATTCCATTTCTCAAAGGAGGAGTGAATTCATGAGGAGAATGAAATGATAGCATCTGTCTTGGAGACAAGCTCCATCAGCAGAGCTATAGATCTGGGTCCTGTGCTGGAAAACACCTGCAAGCAAGAGTCAGGAGGACAGTAACATCAAGGCTTCTGAGGCTGGAACACTGCAAAGCCACTCTACTCAACCACTAGGTGTCTAGAAGGACTCACTGGTGAGCAGCTCATCTTTCCAAATTAAAAGCCCTGGTAATGATCCTAGCTTTCTAAATGGAAGCTCCTGAGAGATCTTTACAAAGATGTGAATGAGATGGAACAGGGTGCCAAATTTTTCCCAAGGGCCTTTAATTTGGTTAATGTGACTCTACAAAGGATGATCATATCACTTTCAGACAATTCCGATAGCAAGTAAGTAATTTCCTTTTACTGCTACAGAGTTAATTTGCGTGTGCAGAAAAAAATAATTAAAAAAACCTAATTGTACAAGCTACACTGTGTTCTGAGCCCACTAGAAGTTGATATCAGCATCACCACCTCTGAGATCTGTTATCTGTAATAGAAACAGCTGTTGTACCTAATGAAAACACTTGAAATT